GAATCTCAAAAGCCCTCAAAGACACAGGAAAGTTCCCAGGTTACTAAAATCTTTTCTCAGGTCTAATTGACAAGTAAACATCCTCTCTTGGCCTGTACTTACTGCAGGTTGAACAAGCAGGTTGAACAAAAAAAATCATCATGGGGACTTCAAAAAGTTTGTGAAAATAGAATTAAGGCATAAGATTTTGGTGCAAAAAATTGTGAAATCTAGATAATTTTTCAAATTATCCATTTCCATGTTTTTTTTGAAGATCCCACTGAAATGCTATTGAAATATAATGCTAAGATATACAACTCTTATAAGCATTCCATAATTTAGAGCTTATGTTTAAGTGATTATTCAAGCATGATTGAAGAAAGCAATACAATCTGATATCAGGCTTTGTAACAAAAATCAATTTCAGTTGACAGAAATTTTTACTATAAAAAATGCCCTAAATGACAAAAAATGTTCTCAAATATTTCCATCTCAAAGGGGCACTGACCAATAAGAAAGAAAAGTAGGGGGGACATACACCACAATGGCATCCCTGAAAACAACTCGGCTTATCCCTGTAAGTCAGGAAGAAGGAAATCATTTTGATAAATGTTAACTGCTTTTCCAATTTCAAATTCTCACCTGTGAAATAAAGGGCTGTTTTATTTGGATGCTGCTAGCTCAAAACAGCTATTTTATCAAAACATCTATAACTTTGAAAACAATTATTTGGCATCTTTTTAAAATGCTAATCTGTAGTAAATGCCAGATAATCTAGGACATACACCATAAAGAATTACTGACACATCAATCACTTTGAGCAATCCTTTTTTTAAGAATTATTTTATTTAACTTTATTTATTTACTTATTTTAATTTGACCAGAAAGGAGGGACAGAAAGAGAGAGAGAGAGAGAAAGCAAGCCACCAAGTCTGAGACTCGAACCGTGGTCGACCATGTGAGAGTCCAGCGCCCTTAACTACCATGCCACCTGGCGGCCCCTTGAGCAATTTAAGGATGTTTCATTTGGTTTTAAATAAATAAAGCTTTGGTTGGCCTTTTAGTAAGACCAAATCAAAGTATTCACAAACGGTATCAAGTAAGAAATTTGGAAATGAAGTATCACATGTCCTGTGCATTCTGTTGCATGAATTTAACCAATAGCCTGTAATGAAAGATTTGAGATTTGGGGGACAAATTCACTGAGATTTAAGTGAGATGACTCCTAAGACACCTCTGGCTCTCAACCAATTAAAAATGAGTGAGGAAAGGGCTTTGAAAGTCAAGTGTAGCCATCAGTGAATCACTTACCAAGTACCTTAATGCTGCCTAGTGAGAACTAAGCCTGCTATAGGAAATGGGTGCTAACCACTAAATGGAAAAGAGAAAGACAGTTGACAAAATTTTCCAAAGCCTACTTATACCTTTAGCTGGAGAAAGCATATTAAAATTATAATCTATTATACCTTTTATTTTTATTGGAATCAGTTAAATAGGACGGCAAAGGTCCTATTTGCAATGCTTTTTCCTACAACTGTTGCCTGTTCCCAGTAATTTTCCTATTTCCTCATAAATTTCTACAGCTGCACTGTCCAACAGAAATGTGAACCACATGAGTAAGTTTAAGTATACTAGCGTCCCATTAAATAATTAAAAAGAAAAAGATAAAATTAATTTTAAACATCTTATTTGACACAAAATATACACATTTGTATCATTTCAACATGTAATTAGTATAAAAAAATCATTGGCGAGATATTTTACACTTTTCCCAATAAACCATCAACATCTGGTTTATTTTACACCTACTGCACATCCCACCTCAGACTAGCCAGTTTTTCAAAGGCTCAATAGTTACCTGTTGCTAAGCAGCTGTCAAATTGGACAAGAGACACGTCAGCGCATTTAATATCTATTCTACTTACCAACTACTTAAACTTCACCGCATAACCCTATTTTTACATTAAGGTTTTATCAACAACTCCTGAACAGGTTCAAAATCTACTTCACTTCTAATTAATGTTAGAGCAAATGCTATCAATGAAAAAAAATAAAAATAAAAAACACCCAGGGCATTCAATGGTAAAGAAATAATGTAGGTAATGTGCCAGAAAAAAAACTTTTTATATAAAACAGTAACATTAATCTGAAGTGGGCCTTGTAGAACAGATGTCCATTGAGAAGCGTCATGCCAGTCCTTTTGCTTTTTTCTGTGCTTCACCGCTGGCAAGGTTTGCTCAGCAAGTCACTAGTTGAGTATTGCAGTCTACAGGGATGCGGGAGAGGGGCGGACAGTGGGAGGTGGAACCAAGGTGAGTAGGGGCCAGGTGAGGGAGAAGTAGACATAGTGACTACTGCAAACACGGAAGACCCTCTCTCAGCCACCTGAGCCAAGCGACTGCATCGTCCCGCCACTACCCGACTGCGCCAGGGCCACGTGCATGCTCCGGTGGGTCTGCAGCTGCCCCCCAGACTGCGAAAATTTCCATAAGCTTCAGCACCATAAAGCAAAAGAAGAAAAAAAAAAAAAAAAAAAGCATCTACAGGAGCCAATTTAGGCTTCCACTGCCTTTCTTCCGGAGCGGCCTGGTCTCCAGGTCGCGGTCCTCAGGGGTCCACGACAGAAACCGTACCTTGCCAGCTTGCTCCCAGGTGCGCAGCAACCGCCGGGAGCCCGCCCCGCCCTCCCCCCCCGGGCGTCCTGCCCCAGCCGCTGGGCGCCCCCATCTGCGTCCGCCGGGTGCCAGGCTGCAGCACATCCTCCTCCTCCTCCCACGACAGTCCCCGGGAGTGCCGGGAGGGCCCTGCGCCGGTCGGCGAGCGCCAGCTTACCTGGGCGCGACAGGTCAAGTTAGCAGAGGTCAGGAGGCCGGGAGAGCTGAGTGCGGGCAGGGCTGCGGGCCTTCTCCCACTGGAAGCCAGCCTCGCTCCTGTAATGCGTGCGGGAAGTTTCATCATGTCTGCGAGAACCAACCAGCGCGCAGGGGCGTGGCCTGCGGTGCGCGGGGCCGAGCGAGGCGGGGCCTGGCTGATCCTGGGGCGGGGCCCAAGAGGGCAGGAGGGTAGGGAGCAAGGAGGAACCATCTGTTTCCTGTTCCTTGGTGTCAGTGCACTGAGTATAGCCTCAGATGTCCGGTCGGTCAGGTGTCCCATTGGTACCCAAGGTTGCCTCACCTGATGTTTTGAGGATTGAGGGGTCTCGTGCGCTTCAATTGTTCTTAGGAAAGGCATCACCGGTTTTTGTGCCGCTGCTCTCAGATTTTTTTGTGCAGCACACGAAAAGGCTTGTCTGAAGAAACGGATGGATAAGAAAAGCCTAAATTTTCTTATTTTTTAAAAAAAGCATTATTTTTATTTAAATTTCTGTATTTATTTATTTATTTTAATTTGACCAGAGAGGGGGGGGGAAAAAGAGCAAGAGAAAGCAAGCCACCAGGTCCGGTAATCTAACCGAGGTCCGCCATGTGGGACTTCAGCTCTCTAAACCACCAGGCCACCTGCCGACCCCTAAGGCCTAAATTTTCTTTATAAAACCTGAATTCAGTTGATATATGAAGGCAAAACAGAGCAGTGGTCCCTGAATATTTTAAGTACAAAAATTCCTTTTAGAATCTCAAAAATAAGTTTCCTCAACCTACCTCCACAGGATGATAGTGTACTATCAGTATCCCTTTGAAAGAGAAAATACTTTTCACAAATAAAAAGATAAGACTCAGAGACGTTGAAGGATTTATCCAAACACACAGAGCTTGACTATCATAAGGAATGGAATCATAGTCTATACAAATATACAAATTCAGAACCCATTTCTCATACCACTCTACCTGTGCAGGGGGAGACAGATACTTGACCTGTTATCTAGTATGGCTGGTGATGCAGAGTATCTCCCACTTGTTCCTCCAGAGCCACTTTCCACCCTTCTCCACCTCACTTTGTACTCTAACATAAATATCCACTCCTGAAGGCCACAGCTCCTGCCAGCTGGCTCTTTCCATACCTTCTTTTGAGATTATAGGAATTTATCCCGCCTCCTCTCCTTTAGGATTTGCCCTAGAGTACTGAGTCACTTTGCTTTTCCTAACCCCTGCCCATGCTTCCATAATTAGTCTCAATTGCAGTATGCCCCCTACTTCCATCAGAACCCTACCCAATACACTGGCCTAAAATGGAATAACTGAAAATGCTGTGGATAAAACTAGAACTGTTCATGTCCTCTCTTAGTTATTAGACACAAATGAAAACTAAATTATGTTGGCCTTTTTCTCCATGTTTTGTCACGTTGAAACCTCATTTCAAAGTCCCTGGGATCATTTAAAATTCTTTGATCTGAGTTATTAAGGAATCAGATTAAAATCCTCTACCATCAAGTCTAGTTCACCATCCTAAAATGCAGTCAACAACACAAGGTTATACTTGTTCACTTGTTCAGCTGTAACAGTATTAATTAAAATGAAGTATTTCAAGTTCTTTTAAATGTCAACTGAACCAGTCCTCCTCAGTAATTTTTTTGTTTTGTTTTGTTTTTGTTTGTGTGTTTGGTAGGTGGATCTGTTTTCATATAGTAATTAAATAGACTACCACATAGTTGGTTTTCTTCCAATCATATAGAAATTCTTCCTGATACTTATGATTAAGTCAGCAGGTTCAACAACAATATGGGAAATTCAGAAAGTTCCAAGAATATCACTTTATCATGATGCTTCTTGTTTTGTCATTCTAAGATCTGTTACTTAGACTGGGTAAAACAAAAAATGGATGCATTCATTTGGTATTCATTGAAAAATGTGCATAAGTTTTATTGAGGTTAGTAAGACTTTATAATAAAGTTTCACTTTATTCAACACAATCTACCTTTGTAAAATTAGTATTTGTGGATAAGACATATTTATTAAATCCATAGAAATTGTTATGAAAAACAATCAATTTTGCCAACTCCTTGCAATAACTCCAAAGCAACCCAAAAGCCCATGACCCACATTTTGGATAACACTGAATTAGAGGTTCAACTAGTTCATAAGCTCACCCATTCCATCTCCCCTGAACAGAAAATTATTTGAGAGTAGGGAGTATAGTTAGCACCATTCCAAACATTACATGGATTCTGAGTCAGAACTAGCATCACCTTTGGACCCCAGTAACCAGAGCCCTTACCTGGGACTCTACATTTGGTCTTTCTTTGGGCCATGAATTTGCTCACACAAGGAAGAATTCCAGATGCCACCTGCATAGGTGAGCTTCTTAAGGTATAGAATGGGATGAAAATGAAGTTAGAGTCCCACTTAAACTCTTACACCATCCTGCAGATATTAGATAATGCCTCAGCAGCCTTTGTTCTCTGTTTCTTAACTGTTCAATTTAATGTTTATAATCCTTTTTATCGGACATCAAATGCAACTTCAAATTGGGCTTCTGATCTTTAGTTCTAATATCTTTTACTTTTCTTCCAATTATATAGAAATTCTTCCTGATGCCTATGTTTAAGTCAGCAGGTTAAACAACAGCATGGCAAATTCAGGAAGTTCCAAAATCCAGGAATATTAACCATGATGTTACTTGTTTTGTCATTTTAGGATCTGTTGCTTCGACTTGGTAAAACAAAAAGTGAAATGTTAACATGTTCATTTTCTGCATATTCATTTTGTGGAACCACAAATTTCATGAAATGGGGAGCTACTTACTCTTCCAACAAAACATTTATTTAGGGGAACCAACAGATGGTGCAATGGTTACATCACTGGACTTCCACATAGTAGACCATGGTTCAAGTCCTGGACCAGGCAACTTAAAACTCATATCAGGCACATGTGTGTGTGCATACTCAAGGTCCTGAGAGGAGAATAGAGGAGAAGGGATTACAGTATGGCCATCCCCCCTTCCCCACAGGCGGTGATTTCTCACTTTCTGTCTCTCTCTGTCTCTGGTGAGTGCACACACCCTAAAGCAAAAGTCCCTCTCTAAAAATAAAACAAACAAAAAAAAACACTACTTAGTCCCAAATAAAAGATGAGCACTGATTAAAAAAAAATTAAAAATCACTGGTAAAGCTGATTTTTTTAAAAAAGGAGTCTCCCATCTAAAAGATTAAAAATGTATTTGTAACGATCACTAATTACAATCAGAATTATTGCTTTAAAGGGGTTAAGAATAGAGCACTATGAATACACAGAACAACTAGACATGATTCAGAGTAGAGTTTACAGAGTGGATGGTGTCTGAGCAGAGGCTGATATAGCAATGTTAATAATAACATTAGCGACCATTTATTTCTAACTACAATGAATTTTGCACAAGGTATTTCTACTGTACATCAACTATAAAAAATTATTATTATTATTCTTTTTTTGATCGCTATATAAGTGGTAAGTGGTTCATGAAGATAAATGACTTAGTAATACCAAACAGCCACTAAGTGACTTCAAACCCATGTGATGGCTCAAGAGTTCCCCAAGAAGTGCTCCACAGGTAGACTAGGCAGAGAAAGACCTTTCAGGAAATGGTAGTGAGACATTAAAAGCCCCAGGGTGTCCCTGAAACAGAACAAGCAGAAAAAGCCAATGATAAAAAGTTGCCTTTTTTTAAAGATTTATTTATTATTATTGTTTAATATGCTATCATGAGAAAGAGAATAAAAATGAGGAAGCAAGCCGCCATGTCCAGGACTCAAACCACAACCGGCTATGTGGGAGTCCAACGCCTCAACCACCATGCCACCTGCTGGACCCAGAGAGTCCCTTTTTTTTTTTTTAAGAGAGACTTTTTTGCTATACGGCATGTGCACTCTCTGGAGACAGAAAGAGAAAGAGATAAGGTGAGAAATCTCCTCCCAGGAGATATGGGCACACTGCAATCCCTTCTCCTTCATTCTTCTCTTGGGATTTTGGGCACGAATGCACATACACACGCCTGGCATGAGTTTTAAGCCACCAGGTCCAGAACTCAAACCGTAGTCAACTATGTGGGAGTCCAGAGACATAACCATTATGCTATACTGGTCTGGAGATTACCTTTTAAGAAAGCAAGTAAAATAATTAGAGCAGATAATGAGAGAAAAGTCATAGGAAATGTACATAAAGTAATGCATTTGAAGAGGGAAAAAACTACTGTGTCGTCAGAAAAGTCATGATGTATTTTTTTGGTTTTCTGTGCAAAAATGCAACATGAGCTTCCTGACAACTGAATACCTTTTCTTTAGGATAGGAAAGGGAGAAGGAATGATAGTGGTGCAGGTAAGCCTAGAGGACCAAGAAAGGGAAGCAGAGAGAAAATAAGTAAGACATGTATGTTGGGTACATTAATGATGACAAATAGGTGCTGTGGAGGGAAACAGCAGAGACAGGAAAAATGGAATGGGGGAGGGCGTCAACAATTTTCAGAATAATTTGTGCTAATAGCCTCCCATTTCCCATTAAAAAAACAAGAGGCACGACATCGGCAGGTACTAAAAGGTTTCGAATGTTAGGAGAGTGAACTTTGAAATAATAGAAAAATGTCCAACAGAATTTATGAGGAGAAAAAAGAAAATGGATGGGCAATTTAGCAGTCCAGCAAGAGAAAAGCGTAACCGTGAATGTGGACTAAGGTGATCGGTGATGGTACAACCTCTGACAACACCAGGTCGCCCAAGAGGTGGAGTCAAGGCCTGGAGGAAGTGCATCCCAGCAGAGCACATGTGGAACAAGGCTGAGAGGGCCCAGGAACACAGGTGCAGTGAGTGCAGGAACAGCACTTCCGGAGGATTTGATCATTGCCAAAAATACTCAACGGCCCTCCCTGGGGGAACATAGTATTGTTTCTATCCTAACATATGAACTAGCCCCAGTGAAATTTGAGCAGAAGTGACAGATGTGGTTTACCACCGCCTCCTCTCCCTCTGCTAAGAGACTGTAATGTTCCAGGTAGGAGCAACTTCGACACTCCAGGACCCAGAATGAAAATTACATTCAGAGGGGCCACAGCCTGCCTACGATCAACATGTCACTGGAGTGAAGAAAGAAATTGTTCTAGTTTATAAGTGTCCGAGATTTGAGAGTTGTTTGTGACTGCAGAATAACCCAGTCTAACCAACTAATAGAGCTAGAATAGCCTAAATTAGAAGGGTAAGAAGTAAAGTCCAAAGAAATTTACTTTACTGAGAGTGTAACAGGACCTGAGTGATTTGAGTCTTAGTTGTAAACTAGGGAAGTATGGGAGTGAAAGAAATGTGTGAACAGGAGATTTTCATGGGGGAGGAACATGTAAATTAAAAGCACTTAATAAAACAGTGAATGTAAAATTATCTAACCCGGGTCA